AAAAAAATTAATTACTGAGATATAGCTATAGACCTAACGTCTAACTATTACTTAAAAAAAAAATCAACTAAAAATATTAACAGGATTAAAAGTTATTTAAGTTGTCAGTGAGTGGTGGGCCACCCTGTATATATCAACGACGAAATCGTCTTTCAAGCTCTTCTCGTGTCCTCCCGTTGGATAAACTGATCAGACCCAATCACTCAAATTAGTGAACTACCAAAGGCGTAGAGTTTAGGCCCGTCAGCACAGTTTAGCTCAAAAGTATTAGACTGAAGAGTGGCTCCTTGTCAGCCACCAGCACAACTACTTTTTTACTATACCCAATAAAGGACGATTATGCCCAAAAAGTAGCCAGCTTGTACACTTATTATTAAAAATGACTAAAAGACCAGTAGTCCAACCTTAACTCTAGCCGCACACACACACACAATTCTAAGAGCACGGCGAATATAAAATATTTGCGCTAAGTCCAGGTTTTTATATAGCTATTTTATTTAAGAAACGTATTAAACTCAAAGTCAAAAAGGTAATATCAAAATGTAACACAAAACAAAATTAAATCGCACAAAGACACTCGCGTCCAACTTCTTGACATGTAACTCGACGTTTCTTCGACAAAACGTCCAGTCTCGTCCAGCCCCCGTCCCCCAATAATTTTCACGTTTCCCTTTTATAATCTTTTTCCCACCATTATTAATTTGCATACCCTGCATTTCCCATTTATATGGAATTATTATATTGCTTAAGAGTTCCAAAATTGCTTACTACTATTGTAAAGCTTATATTATACTAAAATCGACATATTTCAATACTTCCTCAGCTAATAACTACACTACCCTATGTTACAAAAAGAAAATATAACTTACTGGTAAATTATTTAAAATTAAACCTTATATTAAAGGTGTAATTAAAAATCATGTAGCNTCTTATAATAAAGGTGTAATTTAAAATCATGTAGCCGTATTTCTTAATAGTATTTATTTTTTGTTAAGCTTGAAACTTCTAGTAAAATGTCTCAATTAAAAATATTAGATGATATAATACACTAATATGTACACAACAATAAATATATGAATTAAATTTTTTTTAATAATAAAAATTATATTTATACTTATTATATTTTCAGGATGACTTGAAATTATGTTTAACCCTTACTAAAAAGGAGCTAGAAAAAAAAAATGCTTTAGTAAAAGAAATGGAAATAGATACTAAATTTAAAGAAAATCAAATTAAAACTCTGAGAGAAGACCAAAAAATTTTAGAAAATAGAATAGATAGATTAGTTAAAAATGAAATATTTAATCAAAATTACATTGAAACACTAACCAATACAATACAGGAAAACCAATCTAGCCAACAAAAGAAGCAACTAGAAGTTAGTATTTTTTAAAAATAAATAATATGTTTTACAAAACAAAAGAAGCAACTAGAAGTTAGTATTTTTTTAAAATAAATAATATGTTTTACAATAATTGAATATTAATATTTTTTAAATTATTCTTAAATAAACTGTATTACAATTTATATATTATGTATATTTATAGTATAATTTATATATAAATATTTTTTTACTAATATATTCAACATATTATATATTAACAATAGAAGATAAAAATAATGAGGTATACAGAAAATTGTTATTTGTNAAAATAATGAGGTATACAGAAAATTGTTATTTGTATCTTCTTGCACTAATTATTTTACATAAACTTTAGATCACTGAATTAAATGATTCGAACAACTATCTTAAAAATGTGCTTTCAACAAAAGCATCCGAATTGGATGAAAAAGAAAACACTTATCAAAATAAAATAAAAAGCTTAGATTCAAAAATTGTAAAACTCGATGAAGAAAATATTAACTTACAGGTAAATTATTAAAAATTAAACCTTATATATAAGTATAATTAAAAATCATGTAGCTGTATTTCTTAATAGTATTTATTTATTTTTTAAGCTTGAAACTGCAAGTAAAATGTCTGAAATAAAGATATTAAAAGATAAAATACATGACTTTCAGTCTAAAGAACAGGTATAATGTTCATCAGTAAACACCTATCTTCACTACATATAGGGATGGCAAAAATTGACACAATATCGATATTAAATAGTATTAATATTTGGTTTATAGCTTATGAAATAAGATTTATAGAACTCGGTTTGATATTAAGATATCAGTATTGCTAACAAAAATATCGTTGCCATCCCTAACTATATACTCACTTTATATGTTAAAATAATTAGAATTTAATGAATATTTGTCTTAAAATTGTTATCGACCATTCAAAAATGTTTTTAAGAAAATTATTTTATTATTTTAGAAATTGAATCAACAACTAAGAGATGTTATGAATAAATATAAAATTTTAGAACAAAAGTTAAGTGCAACTATTGATGTTAATGTAAAATTAGAAGAAGATCGCAGAAAAAAAAATGATGAATTAATATCTTGTGAAAATAAGAACAGTGTTTTAATGGTATTTTTAATTTAAATATTCATATAATATTTAAATAATCTCAGAACATTTAAATATGACTGTCTAAAGCTGCTCGTCTTTTATTCTGTATATTACGAATTTAAGATTAGTATATAAAGTCTAAAATTCATATAATTCATTTTTCAAATAATAGTTGAGTTAAACATCTTAATAAAGGTATGTTTCTAAATATTTTCATTTTTTTCATTTTAAATAAGTTTTCTTTAAAAGGCTTTTAAGTTGACCTTGATACCAGTTGATATGTTAGTTTCAATTTAATTTATAAACTTTAGAAACAATTAGAAAGCCAGAATTCAGCTATTGGACACTTTAAACAACAATTAAAAAGTGCAGAAGACGTTCTATTAGATCAAAAGACTCAGGCTGAAAAAGATAATCAAGTTTTTAAATTGAAGGTATTTTTTATCTATGCTTCATATTTTAATAATTGATTGACATATATATAAAGTTAATACTAAAATATTTTAATTGATTATTATCTATTGTATACAATATCAAATATTTTTATTAATACTAAATAACGTTTTTTTAAAATACGTATAATTTATATATAAATATTTTTTTACTAATATATTCAATATATTATATATTAACAATAGAAAATAAAAATAATGAGGTATACAGAAAATTGTTATTTATATCTTCTTGCACTAATTATTTTACATAAACTTTAGATCACTGAATTAAATGATTCGAACAACTATCTTAAAAATGTGCTTTCAACAAATGAATCCGAATTGGATGAAAAAGAAAAAATTTATCAAAATATAATAAAAAGCTTAGATTCAAAAAATTTAAAACTGGATGAAGAAAATATTAACTTACAGGTAAATTATTAAAAATTAAACCTTATATATAAGTATAATTAAAAATCATGTAGCTGTATTTCTTAATAGTATTTATTTATTTTTTAAGTATGAAACTGCAAGTAAAATGTCTGAAATAAAGATATTAAAAGATAAAATACATGACTTACAGTCTAAAGAACAGGTATAATGTTCATCAGTAAACACCTATCTTCACTACATATAGGGATGGCAAAAATTGACACAATATCGATATTAAATAGTATTAATATTTGGTTTATAGCTTATCAAATAAGATTTATAGAGCTCGATTTGATATTAAGATATCAGTATTGCTAACAAAAATATCAATATTTAAAGTAAAACTATTTTAATCCAGTATCACAAACACCATTATTACATGTTGGATAGTAAAATTCGAAATCATTTTTTTTTAATAATAGTAATTTAAACAATAATAAAAAATTGTTTACCTATTTAAAACGCACTTACAATGTGCAATTTTTATAGGATTTTTAAGTCTGGATGTTAGGTCCGACTATAGTTATCAACATGTACCTGAACGGTCGTTGACCACCACTTTTAATTAAGTCAGTCGGCGACGTGCCTTCTTAGCATAGAGTAGTAATTTAAACGGTTAAAAATTATTAACGTTCATAGTGTTACTTAAAATTTAAAAATAATAAAACCCCAAAAATCTGTTCAACCAGAAAAATGACATACAGTCCACAACATGGTCTTTCGGATACGGATTTTTGGTTAATAATTAACGAAAAATTTAAATTTTAAATGCGAAAATAATAAATACGTAAAATAGTGCAACGTGTCATTTGGATTACCAAAAGTTTACCCTTTCAAGAAAATGGATAATATTCAAAAAGCCAGTCGAAAGGTAGAAAAATTAAAATATATTCCTTTTATTAATAAATTTATTCGAAAATTTCCTAAAAGAATATATTGTAAGTTTTTCAATATTATTGTAAGGTCTTTTTTTATGTAGATTTTTACCCGGTTATTAGTTATGTTTATCAGGTGAGAATAATAATAAATCGGCGCGTATACTCTACGCGGAAAGTATATATATTTATAGGGGCGTTTAAAAGGTTATTATAACACCTCGTATGTGGGGATAGGATACTATAGTTCATTATAATAACAGAGTAGAAGTTACATTGCTTAATATCAGCTGTTAATAGTATTAAATTTCACAGCGCGTTCTCACTTACCTTCGATATGGGGGAAACGAGCATTAATCTTGCGCAGCACAGAGGACAATTAAAAACATCTTTAGTAAAATTCGAAAAATATTTGAGTAGCGGAAAAGTCTCAATAGAGCAAATACCATTTCGGATAGAAAAAATAGAAGCTGTTTGGTCAGAGTTCGAAGTTATTCAAGGAGCTATAGAGCTCGAAGAAGAGGTAAACATGGAGGAACAAAATATATATATAGAGGAATGTGAAGAATTATTTTTTAAAACATTAGCCAAATCAAATAAATTAATCGGTAGAGTAAGTTCGTCAACGGTCGAAAATAAAGATATTAAAGAAAATCAATATAGTTGTCAGCAAAGTTCTTGTGGTCAAACAAATAAATGTATTTATCACGTTAAATTAGCTCCTATAAGTATTCCAGTATTTACTATCGAATACAGTGAATGGAAACCTTTTTATGATTTATTTTCTAAACTTAAACATGTTAATGCGGATCTATCGGATATTCAGAAATTTTGCTATTTGCCTCAGGAGAGGCAGCAAATATTATTAAAAGTTTAGAAACAACAGCGAATAATTATGATATCGCGTGGATAATGTTAAAATAGAGATATAACAATAATAAGTTAATAATTCAAACTCACGTGAAAGCCATTTTTGAGCTAGGAATGGTGTATCAAGAGTCTGCGGTTAAAATAAGAGAATTTTTGGATTCTTTAGTCTGTCGTATTAGTGTATTAAAAATGTTAGAAAAAAAACCTGAAGAATGGGGGCCGATGTTAATGCATTTAATTTGTACTAAGCTTGATAGAAATACGCTAAGTAGATGGGAAGTAGAATCACCCCAAGATAGAATAGCACGCGTATGCGAATTTATTGCATTTTTGGAAAATAGTGTAAAAGTATTAGAAGCGTTATTGTTTAAAGTGTTCAAAACCACACAATGTATTGTTGCATTTAAATACAACTCTAAATCAAGAAATAAAAGTANGTTGTATTTAAATACAACTCTAAATCAAGAAATAAAAGTAGATAATAATACTCCAAACGATAATTCAGTAGTCTCAGATAACGTATCAACGAGCGCTATTGCAGGTGCTCAATTACACGAACAAGTGTTGTTGTCAACAGTAGAAGTTTATTTAGGTAAGGTTAAAGATGGAAAAGAAAGATGTAGAATTTTGCTGGATTCTCGTTCACAGTGTAACTTTATAAGTGAATATATGGTACAATTATTAAGGTTGCGTAACTCGCGAGTACACCACAGTGTCATTGGCATAGGAGGTACTAAAAAAAATACTACTTCAGCGATTACAGTAGTAATTACATCGCGCATTAGTTTATTCAAAATAGAAGTACGATGTTTGGTTGTTCCTAAGATAACAGGATTTATTCCGTCGAATAATATAAAAAGTAAATGTTTTATTCCGGAAGGTATTCAATTAGCGGATCCGTCTTTCACACTACCGCAAAAAATAGACTTATTACTCGGAGCAGGTCACTTTTTTTATGTTTTATGCGCAGGTAAAATTAAACCGTCCGAGGACGGATCAATATTTCAACAAACGCAGTTTGGTTGGGTAATTGCAGGAGTAGTAAATCCGGGCTGTAGTCAAGCGTATCATTCTATTAGTTATTCGGCAGTGATTGATCACGAAAATCAATTAGACAATATGTTATCTAAATTTTGATGTTTGGAAGAAGTAGGAACAGCCGCGCCTCTAACGTTAGAAGATAAAAATTGTAAAGAGATTTTCGAAAATACGGTTAAGCGAGACGATGTCGGTAGATTTATGGTTTATTTACCTTTTAAAGAAGGGGAAAATTATAAATTAGGCGAATCATACGAGATAGCAAAAAAGGAGATTTTTTAATATGGAAAGAAAGTTGCAAAAAGACGAAAAGTTAAAATAGGAATATAGTAAATTTATGAAAGAATACGAAATATTGGGTTAATGCAGAAAATTAGTGAAAAGAAACCCATAGTTGGGGAACAAATATGTTACTTACCGCACCACGCTGTATATAATTATAATAGCACAACAACACGACTTCGTGTGGTATTCGATGCGTCGTGTAAAATGTCATCTGGTAAGTCACTGAATAACGTACTATTAAAAGGTCTCGTCTTACAAGACGATATGATTTTTATTTTAATATACGTTTTAGAAAACATAGAGTTGCTTTATCTGCAGATATAAAAAAAATGTATCGACAAATTAATTTAGTTCCTTAACATTGTGATTACCAAAGAATATTATGGAGAGAAAATCCAACAATGCCCATAGGAACTTATAAATTAACAACAGTCACATATGGTATGAGTCCTTCGTCGTTTTTAGCAACTGCTTGTTTACGTACTTGTTCTGAAATAAAAAATAATTTTTACATGGACGACTATTTAGGAGGCACAGACACTATCGAATCAGCTGTTCAGTTACGCGACGATCTTATCTGTATATTTCAACGAGCCGGTATGTCGCTGTGTAAGTGGTTATCTANATCGCTGTGTAAGTGGTTATTTAATAAAAACACAGTTGTAGACGACACGGTTGAAAATAAAAATAACGAACGTGCATTTGAATCAACGATAACAAAAATACTTGGTCTAACGTGGGACCCCGCTAATGATATGTTTATATTTAAAATAAATTTAAATATTTACCCGGCAATTGATTAAACTAAAAGGAAAATATTATCTGAGGTAGCCAGGATTTATGATCCGCTTGGTCTTTTAGGACCTGTAATAATAAGAGCCAAACTCTTCATTCAAAGTTTATGGAACATAAAATTAGCGTGGGATGAAGTATTAACTGATAATATAAGTGAAAACTGGTTAAATTATCGCGAGAGCTTGTTAACTTTAAATAATATAAAAGTGTCGCGAAAAATAACGTGTGAAAAAGATATTTCGTCAATAGAAATACACGGTTTTTCGGACGCATCAGAAAAGACATATGGTGAATGTATATAATTACGACGCACCGATAAAGATGGTAAACATAGTTTAAGGCTTATTTGTAGCTCCATTAAAATTAATTTCTATATCCAGATTAGAACTATGCGCAGCGTTATTACTCGCACGGTTATCTTATAACGTAATGGAAAAGTTAAAATTAAATATTATAAAAAAGTACCTTTGGACGGATTCAAATATAGTTTTGGCGCGGAGATCATCTCCATCCATAAATCGGAAGACATTCGTTGCTCACTGAGTTGGTGAAATTCAGAATTTATCTTGTCCATCAGAATGGGCTTATGTACGGTCTCAGGATAATCCAGCCGACTTGCTTTCTAGAGGATGTGAAGCGAAGTTGATGAATGAGATGCAGTTATGGTGGCAAGGACCGTCTTGGTTGAGTAGGGATAAAACGGAATGACCAAGTCAAAATAATGGAGTATTAGAAATTTCAATCAATATGTTGGAAAGAAAAAGTACAACTAAATTTATTGGTAATGTAATAGAAGAAGCTAATTTGTTAGACAAATTTTCATCTTTAAATAAAATTTTACGTATTATGACTTATTGTTTAAGATTTATAGATATTAAAGTACATAAAACATTGTTTAAAACAAGTGTTATAAATGCAGATGATTTAAATAGGACAAATATTAATTTAATACGTATTGTGCAAAATAATTATTTTGCCAAAGAAATTAGTTGTTTGATAAACGGTAAAGAGGTGTCAAAGAAAAGTAAATTGTTACGATTGAGACCGTTTTTAGACGATAAACATTTAATTAGAGTTGGTGGTAGACTGAAAAATGCATTGTCTATTGATGAATGTCAACGTCATCCTATAGTGTTACTTGGTGATAAGTCTAAATACACGCGTTTATTATTTCTACGCGAACATGAACGTTTAATGAACGGCGGCCCGCAGGCGATGTTATCTGCTGTTAGATTAAATTATTAGCCATTGAACGCACGTAGGACAGCAAAAGGCGTATTGCATCATTGTATTAAATGTTTCCGATATAGACCGGTTGTAGTACAACGCATTATGGGCCATCTACCTAGTAGTCGTTTTAAACAGGGAAGAGCCTTTTTAATAAGTGGTTGTGATTTTGCCGGACCGCTGATGATAAAGGACAGTCTTAGAAAAAGGACATGTATATTAAAATGTTACGCTTGTATATTTATTTGTTTTTCAACAAAAGCAGTTCATATTGAATTAGTGTCTGACTTGAGCACGAAGTCATTTTTAAATGCATTAGATAGATTTTTTAATAGACGAGGGATTGCAAAAATCTTATACAGCGATAATGCTACAAATTTCGTAGGAGCTAATAAATATTTAAAAGAAGTTTACGATTTATTTCAATCTGAAGAGTACGAAAATCAGCTGATTAAGAATGTTGCGGAAAAAGGCGTGGAATGGCGATTAATTCCTGCGCGCTCGCCTCATTTTGGGGGTTTGTGAAGTCAATGAAAACTATAATTTTTAAGGTGTTAGGGGAGGCATTTTGAACATACGAGGAATTAAATACTATTTTAATAAGGGCAGAAGCTTGCTTAAATTCTCGACCATTGACTACTCTTTCCCCGGATCCATTTGATCCACTATTCCTTACACCATCACATTTTTTAATTGGAGAGTCGCTTATGTCTGTGTCAGAAGAGGACGAAACCGGTGTTAAAACCAATCGGTTGGATCGATGGTTGGGTTGAGTTGTGCGACATTTTTCCCAAATGTTGTGGAAAAGATGGAGACACGGATATTTAGCTCAATTACAGGAACGGGTGAAGTGGTTCACTGCCAAGGGTCCTAATATTAACGTTGGCACTATAGTTTTGTTACGCGATTAAAATGTAGCGTCATTGAATAGGAAGTTGGGTCGCGTACTAGCGGTACAGTATGGTAAAGATGATGTTATACATTCTGCGACAATTAAGACTACAAACGGTGAAAGCAATAGAGCGGTAAGAAAATTATGTCCGTTACCTTTTGAGGACAACCAAACAATGAGTTAAATTGCTTCAATGATTCATATAGTTAAAATTAAATATTTTTTGATTATTTATTTGTTAATTTATTTATATTTATTTTGTGTAGATAAATTATGAGAGTCCCAATGTGTGTTTTTTAAATAATTATTGTCGAATACTAATTGTTAAATCTATTTGATAAGTCTTATTCCTTTGGTTTATTTGTAGTATTTTATTTTATTTTTTTGTTTTGTTCATTTGATTTATTTAATAATCATTAATTTAAAACAGTGTTTTAAGGCGCCCGCTATGTTAGGTCCGACTATAGTTATCAACATGTACGTGGACGGTCGTTGACCACCACTTTTAATTAAGTCAGTCGGCGACGTGATTTCTTAGCATGGAGTTGTAATTTAAACGAATAAAAATTGATATATTAACGTTCATAGAGTTACTTAAAATTTAAAAATAATAAAACCCCAAAAATCTGTTCAACTAGAAAAATGACATACAGTCCACAACACTGGGCATCACTCATTTTGATTTGAAATTGATNCACTGGGCATCACTCATTTTGATATGAAATTGACATTTATTCTTAAATAAATGAATTAAAAATAATGATAAGTTTATATATTCTATTTCCCGAATTTAACATGCTACAAAAGGTTTAATTTTTTTTATATAACCTCATAACTTAAATTTATTTAATCTATTATTGGAGCCTTATATGACTTGTACTTTATAATTTAATTTCAAATAATTAAAATAGAATTATTTAAATTAAAAAAAAGTAATATGTAAACAAAAATAAGTAGACAAATTATTTGAAAAAATAAATTAAAATAATAAATATTTAATACTTTTTATAAAATAAAAATATAACCATTTATAAATTTTTTTTATAATATTATAAGACTTTTGAAAACCAATCTGCTTCACTTAAAGAACTTATGAAGACAGGCTTAAATAAATGTTTTACCGTCAATCTGTTTCTTGCTTTAGATATTGTTTGACCAGTTTTTTAAAAAAAAAAGCGTTCTGATGGAACAGAGGTTGTGACAATACTAAATTTTTGACGAGCAATGTAATATAATTTTGGGTATAAGAACTTCATGTTTTTGACTTAATGTAGCTAGAGGAAAGTCATTGAATATTTCTAGATTCTTTAAACGCTTGTCAAGTTCAAATAATATATACTTTTTTAATTCAATACCAATTAAAGATGTAGTTTGACAATTATTTGCCACACTATTGATACAATTAATCAATGTAAAATTGTAATAATTATGGTATATTTTTTACCAGAGATTTTTTTTTTCAAGTCCTTAAGTGGTTGCATCAAATTTTTAACTTCTTTGACAATCAATATTTCTCTAGTTATTATTAAATAAGGTTCATTTGGCCTTTCTAATATAATAGTATAAACAACACGATACAAATGTAAAAATCAATCCATCATATAATATAGACTATTCCAACGAGTCTTGATGTCCAATATTAATTTTAAAACTTTTCTTTCTGGTAAAACCTGAAATACCATATTTTAAAACATAATAAACATTAAATATTATATTTACCATAATTTTTTTGGATACTTCTTAATTCATGATTAGCATTAACACTATTTTTTATAAATTTTAGAATATTTCTAATTTTGTCATTCAACTGATTTAAATTAATACAATTCTCTAATGCGTTATTAGCTATAAGGTTTATAGTATGAGCAAAACATGGGATTGTTTTATATATGCCAAATATATCACTAGCTGTTTTTTTTTTCAGTTAAAAAAGAACATTTTAAATTTAATGAGAATGTAGTACACAAATGTAATAAATAGACATTACCATTATCAGTTAAAATAGCAATAATTTGGTGTTGACTAATTTCCCATTAAGTCATAATAATTTCAAATGCCTCACTAATATTTTCAGATGTATGAGACCTACTTAACTTATGTACACCTAATGTTTAAAAATGTATACATTTTAATTAATAAATACGTAAAAATAAATAATTAGATCATAATAAGTAATTTGAAATAATACCACATATAAATTTAGTGCCTTCTAAAAAGTGTGCAGGAATACCAATATAACTTTTCATTTGAAAATCGGTTCAAATATCTGATGTTAGTGTAAAACTATTGTTTTTCTTCAAGTTATTTGAAAACACTTTAAATAGTCATATTTTAAATCCTATTTATTTTTTATAGTATTAATTAAATAAATGATTATTCATTAAAGGGCATGTGTTACTTTTTTCCTAAACTANGGTGTAAAGGGGAGAATACACTTGTAAAAAAAATGTCTAAATCCACTTCCTTCAACAGTGGGCAATGGTACATTATCCTTGCAAATATAATAAATTAATGCATCAGTTATTTCTGAATTTTTCATTTCTTCTGCTATGGAAATTTACAAATTTAATAAAAGAACCAATTCTAATAATAAAGGGCATGTGTTACTTTTTTCCTAAACTAGTATTTAGTTGGTAAATTATAATAATTTATGCATACATACATTCTTAAAGGAAATTTTTTCTTTTCAATTTAAAGCTAAACTTAAGATAAAGTAATTCTACTACTATTTGAATTTTATTTTACTGCATTAAAAAACATTTATAATATGTTAGAATATACTAAAATTTTATTAAATTATTCATTTTTTATAAAATTTTTAAAATAAAAATTGATTTTTTTTTAATTAATTACAAATTTTATCCAACCTTATTAGTGAAATGAGTCTTGAAATAAAATCTTAATAAGAGAAAAATAATTGTAAAAATTTTCAGAATATATTTAAAAACGAGACTATTAACAAATTTTATTCATTAGTCCAATTGATTACCTTTCATTAATGATACATAATTAAAACAGTGCTCAATCAAAGGTTGGCGCATTTTTCTTTGGGAGACATTTAACAAAACAGTATCACTAGTTGATGAAGTAGCATTGTCAAATTGCTAAAAAATTAAGATAGAATTATACTTCATATTAATTTCGAAATTAAGTCATGTTAATAGCATATTTATACTCACAATTAACACATTGTCAATCTGGTCAGAATCATGACTATTAATGTTTTAGGATTCCTTTATTTTTGAATTTAGTTGGTGTGCATTTTTAAGATGAGAGTGAAGATTATATGTGTTGCCAGACTTTAAACATATTTTATCACATACTTTACATTTAGCAGACAATTTATGGACTTTGTCAAAATGACGCCAAATTTTACTTAATTTACCCATCGCAAAACATTACTAANATTTTAAAATAAAAATTGAATTTTTTTAATTTATTAAAAATTTTATCCAACCTTATTAGTGAAATGAGTCTTGAAATAAAATCTTAATAAGAGAAAAATAATTGTAAAAATTTTCAGAATGTATTTAAAAACGAGACTATTAACAAATTTTATTCATTAGTCCAATTGATTACCTTTCATTAATGATACATAATTAAAACAGTGCTCAATCAAAGGTTGGCGCATTTTTCTTTGGGAGACATTTAACAAAACAGTATCACTAGTTGATGAAGTAGCATTGTCAAATTGCTAAAAAATTAAGATAGAATTATACTTCATATTAATTTCGAAATTAAGTCATGTTAATAGCATATTTATACTCACAATTAACACATTGTCAATCTGGTCAGAATCATGACTATTAATGTTTTAGGATTCCTTTATTTTTGAATTTAGTTGGTGTGCATTTTTAAGATGAGAGTGAAGATTATATGTGTTGCCAGACTTTAAACATATTTTATCACATACTTTACATTTAGCAGACAATTTATGGACTTTGTCAAAATGACGCCAAATTTTACTTAATTTACCCATCGCAAAACATTACTAATAATCTTTGTAACACAAATTGCACCAGATATTATGGCAATTTGCTACCACGCCAATATGTTTTATCATTGTACAGTATATTTATACAACAAAACATGGAACATAAAATATAATTACCAACAAGCTATAAAT